GCCGAGCAATCATGTTCAAGACTAGTCTTTTGTTACCTTTTGTGGCCTTCAGGGAGAAAATGAAGATCATCTTCAGCTAGATACCGCGCGGACAATGTTAAGTTGAACCCTTTCTTCCTTAATTCCCCTGGATATTGTAAAAGATCACACTCGATATCCGACAAAAATTCCTCTATTGATTTCCTATAATTCATTCTGATTTTCAAAACTGCAAAAGACAAAATGCCCGTACGCGTTGCTGACTTTGCTCCTCTTTAAGTGTTTGCGGAGTGGCGCCAAAACGTTCCCAAGTGGGCGAGTAAACTTTGAAGTTTGATTGTCAAAACTTTGAATTTTGATTGACCGGCAGTTGCAAGCGACGGTAAGACCTTTTCTGAACGTTTTCTCCACCGGGCTCTTCCTTTGTAATAGCTAGTAGTTACAGTGTAGTTACGGCATGTATTTCAGAAAATTTATTGAAAAGTTCGCTGATCGTGTGACAGGAAGTCACCCCAACTTTTTACCAAATTAGGTTTGATGTTAATGACAAAGCAAACACACTTCAATGTAGTGAATGGGGTTGACAAGCCTCCGATCCACGACTCCTACGATTTGTGACATTTGAAAAAAAAAAACACTCAGAAAAAAAATATTCCCCTCGACCCTCGACCCTCGACAAAATGATAGACTCCATCTAGACCAGTTGTTCTACAATAGTCAAAGATACCGACAGATTTCCGAAAAACCCAAGTGCGCTTCTAACGAGATTTGTCAGACGCAAACACGACATATGGTGTCAGTTATCGATCAACGAGTGGCAATTCAGGTTTTGAGTCGCGAAGGACACCAGAAGGCGAATGCCCCTCTTTTAGCCTTGCTTTGACCTCAGTCAATCAACTGAAAAGCCCGTGTTTTACAGCATTTTAAACTAGGCGCTACTGACGGAAATTGTGCAGCAACGCCCACAGAGGGGATGGCGAATGGTCCTTCAAAACTCTGGGTCTCGCAAAATTTTAGTCGAATTTCACGGGTCTCGCAGTCTCGTTTTTTTGGCGGTTATGTGCGTCTCGCAGTCTCGGTTTTTGTACGAAGCTCTCTCGGAGTCTCGACTTTTTGCAAGGTTAAGGGTTTCGAAGTTCCGATTCGTTTGTTTGTTTTAATAAATGACGTCCTCTCGTCACTTGATATTGAATTTCAATAAAGCAACTTCCAAATTTCCGAGAAAAAGTTAATCCTAACTTGTGCCAAATTGTCTGAATTCCACAAAAAGCTACAAAACTTACCGCAAAGTCATTTTGGCGCCAAAAAACAGTTATTTTGTTCCAGGATACCTTAACGTAGTGTTACAGTCGAATTTCCAGTTCCAGCTCGTTCGCAAAGGCTGGCTAAAAGGCTAAAAGGGGAATCAAGAAACCACACACAACCCACGATAGCTCATGATGAAACCCAGGCTCCTTTGTAAGACTTCTGTACAAGCTCATTCTCGCTCATTCTTATAGCTCTCAACTAAATCTGGGCTCGAATTTTAAGAGTCTGAGCCCCTCGCGCTCGCACTCAAAACACTTTGAAGTCTCGGTCTCGCAATTTAAAAAGTCAATATGTCTCGGGCTCGCAAAGAAAAGCGCTAATCTCGCCGTCTCGCAAAGTCTCGCATTTACCATTCACCACCCCTCACAGACAAGGGCATGTACTAAAGCCCGAAACAGCAAAACGAAACGACCGAAACGAAATAACCGGAACAAGCGAAGCCATCGAAACGACTCGGAAAGAAGCGAAGAATGAACTGTCGATATAAAGGAAATGTAGATTTCACTTCAGATATTATCTCGCCAACATCAATATAACCAAAACACTTACTCCATTTTAGCAGCGACTCAATCAAAAGCTTCTATGAACAACTGATGCAAGACATATTTTTAACGCTAGTAGTCGTTACATTTGAATTTAAATTATGACTATTTCAAGTCATGTAATCTTTATAACTTGTTTTACCTTTTTTGCGTGTTTTTTTTTTTTTTTTATGAGTTCGCTCTTCACGCGATTGATGATATTTTTTAAAATTTTAAACTTCTCGTCTGCTCTAAAGTTCCCTAATGTTTTAGATCTGTAGTCGCAAGAATCAACATATAATGCATGAGAATTGTCAGCAATTCAGAAACTAGAAGAAACGTTGACTTACCCTTTAGGAATTGCAGATAGCATTTCATCTGAAGGAGACTTATGGGAAGTAAAGTAGACATTAAATTGATCAGGTTTCGATAACAGAAAACCGATCGCCTTGTTCAACTCTTCTTGTTCCTTTTCGTTCACCAGAGACAAACATTTCCTACTAAAGATTATCGTATGCTTTGAACTTCCGCTTGTTGCCATTATTTCCCTTGCCAAATACACCTTACAGAAGTAAATGATTTCTTTTAGCTTCACGGGCAAACGTTGTTGTAATGAGGTGAGGAACGTTAAATGGGGGAATGGGCGGCTAACGAGCTGTCGAGGGAGCCCTGGGGTGAGGAAAGAAAAACATTCTCGTCCCCATAGCCCTTTTCGCTCCTCTTAGCCGGCAGAGCCTTGGCACGAGATGTGCCAAGGTCCTGCTGGCTAAGAGGAGCGAAAAGGGCTATGGGGACGAGAATGTATTCCGGAATCAATAAGGATGAGTTTTCTGAAAGTCTTCCTTTATAGAATAGACCAACCACTGGCTTACTGGCGACTAGGGTGGGAGGATGATATCAATACCCTTATGGTTTTTTTGAGGCATATGTTTTTTTGCTGTCCTCGTGTGATGCTGTTGACGCCAAAAAAGCCCTCATAAGCGTTTAAAACAGTCAACAGTTTGTGGTAACGGAACGATGATAGCATGTTTTTAATGTTTTTAGGATCTTTATTGTTATTGTAATTCTATTTTTAGTTGTCCAGAGCACCCCTTGATAACAGCATTAGCTGACGGGTTTACCCTGGTTAAATATGTTTATATTATTATTAAAGATTCGCACAGCTATTGATTATTATTGTTATCATTATTATTATTATTATTATTA